TGAATTCCATGAAAATGATACATTCACGGAAAAAACATGGAAAGATAAAACACGGATCAGATTTTTTACAGGGACTGTATGGATGGCATTTATACTATAACTTTGATCATTTATAGTTTTGGTATAAAAATAATGTGGAAAATGCAATCGTAACGATCCTGCACTTCATTATGGAACTACGTGAGATAAGCTTTTGAATTCACATTCACCCCTAAGGCTTATATTGATATATTACCAACCGCCTTGGAGATTTATCAAAAACTTATTTATTTCCAACATTTATAAGAACACTTAAGATGTCTAATTAAGATGGACTATTCTAATAATAAAACGAACGTTTCATCCTGATCATGCACAATTCAGAAAATTTATATTAAAGAACGCGGCGATACTGCAGGTATTGACTTATTAATCAATGTTTAATTATACTTTTCAAATGTTCGTATTTGCTAAAATCTTTTCTATAATTTTTGCAAAGATCAAGATCAAGATGAAGGTGAAAAGGAAGAGTTACAACTATCGTCATTTTAATGATTGTTCAACATAACCTTCCATTAAAAGAGAATCTGCAGCATTATTTGTTTGAGCAGTAATGTTTATGATTGATCTCAAAGTACCAGTTAACATTTTTAGACGTTGTCATGATTAAAAATATACCATGATACACTTTCAAACGAAAGTTTTTATTAAGTACTATCAGGAGATCCTATTGTATAAGCAATTTAAATAACCGTCTAACTACTACTTGCTGCAGAATTAGCAATGATGAACGATGCAGAAATTCATCATGTCTAAATGATACAACTTATTACAAAAGTCAAGATTGAAGTGGATCATGTTTTCTGGTATGTGCGTTTGAAGCGTAATTTTAATATTTTGATTGAGAGCTTGTTACAACTTACAAGCAAGCATTAGTTTATAGACCAAAACATTAGTGAAGAATGAAATGTATCATTTTTTTTTATTTTTATAATATTCAGCATTTACTGTTTCTTAATAAGATTGAATAAATAGTGCACAGAGTAGGAGAACCTTCTTAAGGTGGGTAACTATTCAAACTACAATTTAATATTTACAGTACTTTCGGTTCGAATAAATATTTTTATATAACTATTTTATTTAATTTACGGATGCAGGCGAACATTAACCTGTACTGCAATTTATTTGTAAAAAATTGTTGGAAGTGAGTCATATGCACAAAGTCCTATTTCAATGTATCACTCCCTTGATACACTTTTGCAATGGTTCAAACGTCAATTTGAACATTTATACCATGATAGTTTCGGTTGTTCACAATTTTGGTGTAAAATAATCCGTCATACCGATCCTACACTTTATTACGCAATTTGTAGGAGCTTACGTAAGTTGAAGGAATTTTTTGTTTTAAATTCACGTTAACTGAAGATATTAAAACCTTTTTTATCTTCTAGGGCTTACATCGATTTGATAATGAAGAATTACCAACCGCCCTTGAGATTTAACAAAATTTACATATTCAACATCTATAATATGATGATGATATTTAAATTGATCGATCCTCTCAAATTTTCTTGAAGAATTCATTTATAGAAGTTTCGTAGTGATTATTTTAATAATAAACGGATGTTCCATCCTGATCAATGTTGTACAATTAAAAAAAAATATAAAAAATATGTATATATATATATCATACTACAGGTATTGATTTTTTTTTAATCAAATGTTTATTTATATTATTTACTGTGTATATTGAACATCTTCGTCGTGATGTTTTGTAGAGATGAAGAGCAAGGATAAAGATCAAAATTAAGATGAATGGACGGAAGTTGTTGCAACTATCTTCATTTTAGTATGAGTTTGATTCTATGTTTGACATAAAGGAAAATCTGCTCGCTTTTAAAGATGATGGTAGTAATGTAATAATTTGTATGTCAAATTACTTGTTCTTGGATATGAAATATCAAAAATTCAGTTCAACTATTACGATATTATGGTGATTTAAATTGTACTGACCATACCTATCCGTATGTGAGCGAAAGCAATTTAAATGGCCATGATCTAAATGCTCTAAATGCTGCTCGAAGGAACTTATTGCAGGAAGTTATCAGTAACGAGCAATGTAGGAATGAGAAATTCATTATATCTGAAAGTACAAATCATATCCTGTCAATATGACTTTGTTTCAAAGGCAAGACTGGAGATGTTTCTAGAGAGCGTATTTGAGCAGCTATGGAGTGATTTATTACATCTCATCGATGCCAGAAACATTCATTCATTCATTCTATAAGGCAAAAATTAGTGGTCAGAGGGTATAACGAAATTATTTCCTAAACTGGGGATATTAATGGAGGTTAGACGCACTCCTAATAAGAAAGTCAAGGATTATCAGTCAGTCCTTGGCAACCATCGATAATGACTATCACTTCAACAAATTCACCGCAATATGCTGCCAAGATGTTCTTTATAAATTTGGATCGTGTTGTATTCTAAAGTGGTAAGTTTTTGTTTCTTATTCTCTATGCAGTATAATTTACCAGTTACTTTATTAATGATATTTTTTTTAAACAGCCTGTCATCCATTCATTTGTCATTAAACCAATGGATAAAATCTATCTACTAAATGACTAAGATGAGATAATGAATTAAAAATGTAATAGTTTTGCGGAGTATGTTATTTTATTTCTCTATACCACTATATATACAGTCATTAGGGTTGAATATGAAATTTGATGAATCAGAATTCAAGTTTAAAAAGAAACAATGAAACAGAATTATGACGTGAGATAAGTAATGTATGTATATAAAATTTTTTTTTTTAAAAAAAAAAATCTACGAAATTCAGACTAATGGGTATTTTTTTTACAGGTTATTATTTTTTTATGAAAACTAAGATCAATACATTTATGAGTTTTATAATAATTATTTTGTAATAAAAGAGGGCCGACTCACTTAGTAGTATTAAACGAAAGAATATAAATAGAAAGGATGCGAAGGATGCGAAAATACTGCGTTGGCTTCTTAACTTGTTTAAAAAATATATATATATATATATAACAATTTATAGCCATATAGGTTATTTTGAGATTCACTATCATATAGTAAGAAGTATATATTAAATTATACTAAATATATTCATTAAGTAAAAATTAAGCGCGTTATTTTCAACGAAATATCAATATAATAATTCCTTTCAATTGAGTAATATCATTCGCGTTCATTTATTTAAAAAAAACAATTTAAAATGAGTAGTATAATTATTATACGTCCACGCAAGTATGAAATAATCAATAGGCTTGTTCGGTTTTTGATCGGGTTTTGGTTTGATATGATAGAATTTTTTGATCACCTTATAAAAAATGGAGTGAACATTTGAGGGTTTTTATGTCATATAAGAGAGCAAAGAGGTCATTTTATTTTTTTACCCGAAGCCTTAGACTTATAGAAAAAAAGAGCGAGACCGAAACTATTACCCTCAATCAGTCCTACAATAGTTACATGTTTTAGTATACTAGTAGAGTTAGGATTGGATGCATCAATTACTGATGCTGTTATCAACTTCGGTAGAAACGATCAAATAATAAAGTGTACTATATTATCTTGGATTTATTATTTGTTGTCTTATAATTTTCAAACACTTTGATTAATACCATTGTTAGAATTCTTGTCATTGATGCGTATAATTTTTTCTGGAACCTAACATAACGCTAGTTGTGATACAACATGTGCGTTAACAGCAGAACATGAAGAAGACTTGTACCATAGAATGTCGAAGTAAATCCCTTCTTCGAAATAGGTAGAACCGTTAATCCACATTAGAATAACAAAATTGCTAGCTCACCCGGATATTGTCTTATAACTAAGTGTAGCTCTCGTGTATCATCATTACTCTGCAATCACAAAAAATAACATATTTAGGGATCTTGTAGAGTAATAGAATAGAATTGGAGATTGTTTCGTCCGGCTAGGAGGGATATACTGTATAAGCGAATTATTCATGTACTGTTCTATTATGATCATGATATAGTCAAAAAATGGATTGCCTATGCCCTATGGACAACAGGAGAGAGCGATTTTGTCTTGTGTGTTGTTCCCTATTATAGTAAAAAATAGATTGACAATAGTTAACGATATAACTCTATGCCGTGTGATATCTAGGTGTATGGGAATTTTTCACTATACAAAGGATAAGGTCCAAATATGCAATCGGCATTTGTACTTTGATCCGCTGTTTGATGCGGGCAATGATTTATATTTATTTTGTTAGAACAATGTTATAAGTGGTCGATTATAGTTTATTATACCATATATACTGATGAACGAAATTAGTGTTGGCATACATAGCATTCAAAAATTTGGAATACTTAACGGAGGTTAATAGTAATTATACAGTATCTTGCATTCTATATAACTTCGTTGACAGATGAAGTATTCTCTCCGCTTGCGGAACAGTATATGAATAGAAAATACGATAAATTTGTTGCGCATGACGTAGTGGATTGTCAACAGTGACATATGATTCAGAGTTTATTTCCATTACTAAATTCCAAATCAAAGAAAAACACTAAAAGGAACAAAACGAAATACCCATCCTATTCCAAAATCGTTCCTAGAAAATAAAAAATAAACTGTAAATGACCCATGCGAGATATCGCAGATGCGATAAAAAACAAAACCTTTATTATCATTTTTTATTCACTTCAAAAATCAAAAGTTGCAATTGTACCATTATTATTTATTTTAAAATATTACAAATATCTACATATTTGCTAGCTTCTGTATTTCAATGTATTCTAATGTATGATGATATTAACCATACATATATACATTTTCGTTAAATATATTATGTATGGTAATCACCATACATCACTATACGTTGGTGATTGGTCATACATACAACCATACAATACATGTTTTCTTCATAGTACCGATTTCAGCACTGTCTAAAAACTTTAGATAAATTTTATTAAATGTTATAATATAAAAAAAGAATAATAAAGATAATAGGAAAATAAAAACGTTTGAAAATATTATAACGCGTATGTAAAGGGAGTTTGAAAGTTAACAATAAAATGATAATTATATCAACTTAACGAAAATTTTTAAGTTTAAAAAACTGTAAAAAAATCATTACATTAAAAGGTAATGGTTCAATTACTAAAAAAAGGAGTGGGGTCTAGTTTAACAAGAGAACGAAAAAAGAGAAGCTTGTTAGTTGAAGACATCTGAAAAATCCTCAAGGTCGAATGCAGATGGGGGCGTTCCCGTATCACGTTCAGTGACTCGATTGATTCTCGTGACTGTATGAATGACATTTGGAATCCCCGTTTGACTTCGCACCCTTTAACAAATGAGGAGATTGAGTTAAGTTGGTACTAAAGAATCTGAAAAACATGAAACCAGTCATGATATATACCACGGTATATTTGTATCTATCTGTTGTTTCCATGTTCCAATGCTGGCACCGTTTGGAAATGTAAATATAATATTGTTATAATTTCTCGCACCACTAGCTGTAAGGTTCGTAATAACCGCAGCAAGATTTTGTCCCACGATTCCGTTTCGATTATTTGGAGAGGTTGCGACATCGTTGAATCCTGCTGGATCCCAATGAAAAACAAGTGCCGGCATATTTCTATCTCTTTTTAACGCTTTGAGGGCTAACGCAGCTGTTTCGTGATTATTGAGGGCGGGAGGGAGACCTTCTTGTGCTAAAAAAAGAATTGATCAATATACATGAACATAAATGTGCTTAACTGTTAAATTTTACATACTTGTTCCACTTTTTCTTGCTAATTTTTTAATATCGTTTTCTTGAACTGTATAATAAATAAATTTTGATAAACTTAAAATCTCACTGAATTGATAAAAAAAAAATTATACCTTTGTTATAAATGTATCTGAAAGGATTCGACATACTCGAGAAAGTAGGGAGAAAATTTTTTATAATGTGAAAATCATTAATCATGATTAAAATAATTAAATAAATAAAATAATTACGATATCACGTGCATATTAACAAAGCGTATTGAGCCTATCAACTGCGCACTTGACCTATATGGTCAAGTCTCTACTCCATTACTAATTTTTTTTTGGTTAGAAGATTAAATAAAAGACAATTGTTCGTTTTGTTCGTAATTATATTTGAACACTGATAATTATAAGGGATTTTTTTGTTAGAAAATTACGCAATGGATAAAACAATAACAGTAAAAATAATTTTTTTTTAAAAAAAAATTAACCGGTTAAACATATTCAGTTGTAAATCGAGTTAGTGACATTCCAATCAACTAATCAATAGTGGTGGATTAGAATACAAACTAAGACAACAAGTTATTTAACTAGAAAGAAAAGAGATCGGTATTTTGTTTCTGCAAATTTCTTGTCCTAGTAGTGTACACTTGCACGATGATGCGAATGTTCTCCGTTACATCTCCTCGGAAAATAATCCTTAAACGGAAAGGTAGGTGTAAACCTAAACTTACCAATATTAATTTCTTTCGTGCTTTTTTTCTACAGCAATGTTAACCTTCCAAAGGTTTCTAACGCTTTGACTTTTCATATCCCAAATAAGAAACTCGAGGTCACATCAGGAGAATAAAACAAGCGTAGATCTACAAAATAATACATGTGCACTCGCGACGATATACTATACGAGTGTGAAAAATTTAGAGGAATTTTCAATAGTATAAAATAGTGTATTTTAAAAATGACGTAGTTTTTTTAATAGTAAAAAATAGTGTAATTATCTTATTCTCAAGATTTTTTTCACATTTTATTATTTTTTTATTTTTTTTTACTTACAATAGTAGGAGCGCATTTTTATTTTTTTTACTTACACTAAGAGTCGAACTCGCTATTTAATCACATTTTATTTATTTTTTTTACTTACACTAAGAATCGAACCGAATACCTCAAGATAAACTATTAATATATTAAGTCTCATTATCCGACCACTACACTATTTGTTCTTTTTTTAATTATTAGTATTATATTTCATATTTATCTTAGAATTAATATAATTTTTTTAGAAAAAAGAAATTTTTATGTTTGGTGTATTCATCACAAATTATTTGTTAAAAAATCTTTTACTCCCTTTTGTTTATAATCTACATTTCCATTTAGATATTTACAATACTATTTGGAATTCTTGAAATCAGTATTTTAAAGAATGGAAAAATGTCACGGTATTAACCACAAGAAGTTCTTTCAAGATTCCGCATCAGAAGTTTCTCACATTTATCCTTTGCGCAGTTCTGTCAATCATAATTAGTCTTCTTCCAATCCTTTCAATGATTTCCGAAATCCTCCTGACGCCACGTCTTTGTGGAATTGTTTTAAATCGTCTAATTTTTTACATAATGGACCATGGAAACCAATTTATTGATTTTTCTCCTAATTGTACTTTTAATTTTAATGTTTCGTTATTTTGTTCTCCTTTGATTTTTTTTTAATTCTCCTTTGTGTTACTCTAGTTAGTAGTTTTTTCTAGTGTTAGCTTCTTTTTTTTTACGGAGGGTGAACCCCTTATGGGTGCGCGCTTTTAACTAACTTTAGGATTTGCTTTTACTATGTATTTTATACCTCTGGTTGGCTTTCTACACAAAGTTAGTCAAAAGTGTCATCTTTGTTGGAATAAACAAATTATTTGTCCCCGACACTGTTGCAGATTTTCAAAGATTGCTTCTGATAAAAGGATTTGTTATTACACATTATCTAAAAATTTTTTCATACATGAATTTTCTTATCTGTCACATGAAAATTATTCAATGATCATATGATCCCCCTGTTATCTAAATTTTTATGGCCGATCTGGTCTAATTTTGTGACGCAGCAGATCGAAAAATGACTTTCAATAAGAATAGTCAAATTCCGATCTTTAGATGATTGTGTCTCTACTAGTCTTAGAAAAACGGGGCAAAGACGGAATTTTGTCAAATGTTCAAAAAATCTTTTAAGAATGCATTTCTTATCGCTTACCCCAAGTAGGCTGTCTTGGTCGTACGATTATCATACGATTATTGATAATAATTTTTATAATAAGGTAAAAAATATACACAACTCTTTTATATAATTTATAACAAGAAAAGTAATATAAAAATAAAAGATATATTGTGTTACACATTAATAAAGTTTTATATTTTGTTTATTTTAAAATTATACAATTGTTACATTTTATTAAAGCTTTCAATAATCAAGATAATTCTTTGTGATATTCTGTATTAGTTGCCACTGCCACCTAAACACTGTACATAGAGCTTTATTGAAATGAATGAACATATCAAAACCTCTTTCTAAGAATAGAACATTCACAAGAACGCGTGGTACTGTACACTCGATACTACTTTTTTTTTCTTTTTTTTTAAAAAAAATTCTTAACTCTCGTGTTTAACAAATTATTTCGAATCGAAGTAAAAAAAAATTAGCAAATGAACATGACGCAATTGATGTATACTTTAGTTATCAGAAAAATAAAAAATTAATTTTATTATTACTTATTAATATATAGCATTAAATATTTTTACGCAGAAGTTAATCTTTTTACGTGGCATAACTGAGAATAATTTATCAAATCGTACATGATTTTCGCATTACAAAAATACAAAAAGTACAAAGTATGAAATAAATTGACAAAATAAAATTAATTATTAAAAATTATTAAAAAAAATATCAAAAGATGTGTATAAGAGACAGGTATGAAATAAATTGACAAAATAAAATTAATTATTAAAAATTATTAAAAAAAATATCAAAAAAGTGAATAAACAAGTATTAATATATTATGGTATTGATTATTCCTCAAAAAATGTAAAAAAATTTCAGTGATGAAGAACACTTAAATTGTAGGGTACGTTTTGACTTCAGAAATAGAGGTAGGTCCTTCTTCACCGAAAGTCTTGCAGCAGAACCCACCAGGGTTAGGATACGCTTCGCTATTAGGTAAGGCGACAAGCGTAATCAACAAAATAACGAGTACAAAAATAAATCGGTTCATAATGGATAATTTGTATTAGAAACTTATTTGTAAGTGATTATTTTATAATTTTAATTTTTATAAATTTTTGTTTTTTATTGAATTACTTGTCTTTTCATATCCACCATCTTTTTATAATAAAAAAAAAAAGAAGCTGCAAGATTTTATCAAACATTTTTGCTTCTTGTAAATCAATTTTCAATATGTATTGTTTTAGGTTAAAAGTAGAGATCGGATCTGTTAATCCGGATATATGATACGATTTAGAGTTTATCCGTTAAAGGCTTAACTAAATTTGTAGATAGTTTGTTTATTTAACTTTTCCAGCGTCTTGCATTTGCATATGCTTGCGATAAGCTAAATATAGAATACAAAAAAAACAAAAAAAAAAAGGGTTATAAATTAAATAATTAATAATTAGGGCGATAGTATAGGTAAATAGGGGAATTGTTGGTCTAATTGAGTTAGAGAAGCGTAATAATGTTTACTTTCGTTTATTTTAAAGAAATAAGTTATTTCTTCTTTGGATTTCTTAATAAAATAAAATTAAATTTATGTAAATACAACTAGTAATAAACTGTAATATAGATATAAGTTTTATGATATATCAGTGATCAAATTATGTAAATTCTGTACGAATTCCGTGAAACTTTCAACGGACTATTGTGATACGTTATTTTAAGGAAAAAAATCATATAAAAATCTTATTAAATAAGGGTTACGGTAATTTCGCCGAAAGCCATTTCGTCGAAAGGACGTTTCGCCGAAAAATAGGGCCAACATTATGCAGAATTATAAATAACTCAGGCCAGAGATTATTTTTCGGCAAAATGGCTTTCGAAATGTCCCGATACCTTAAAGGTTACGATACCTTAAATGGTTGCGGTACATTTAAATAAGTATACAGTTTTTCTATAGGGTAAAATAATGGTTAAAATAATTAAATATTAACTTTTTATTAATAAAAGTAAGTACAGTAGTATATTATTGATATACCGCCATGTTTTGAGAATACTAATTTAAATAATAAATAGTTTTATAAGTAACTTCATTATTATGTTTACACTTATCTAACTTCTAATTGTTAATTTTTAAATAACAAATAGGCTCTGTAAGTATATTCATTAATTCATTAACGAAGTGACATAATTTGTACCTCCTTTTTTTGTAAAATATGAAAATATTCATTGATATTATGATCACACATTATTTTAAAAAAAAAAAATATCTTAAATAATAATAGGATAAAGTAAAACTGTAAGTAATTCATCACCAATTAAATAGTCCGCTTTAAAGAAAAAATAATACAAATGCTCGGCAGAGTGACTATTTCTTTTTTTGCTGCGGATGAAAGGAAAAAAACGAAACCATCACGAGTAAATCAGTACTATGTCACATTTCCCCACACTTAGTCAATACAAACCGAAAAATTGCGTAATACAGTCAAACCTTTATATAACGATATGTCGGGACATATATGAAATTTTTTAGGAAATATCGTTATATCAAAGTTATACCGATATTTATATGTCCTCACAATAGTGGGAAAATAAAATTTTATCGGTATATTAAGTTTTTAATAGTATATCGGTATATCGAATATCGGTATATCGAGGTTAGACTGTAATTAATAAATACTCGATATAATTACTCATGGGAATTTTTTCATGTAATTCGTCATGGCGATGAGATCTACAAAACAAAAAAAAAAGAATTATTGAAATTGGACCACTTAAATCGCGAAATAATTGTTTTTGCTTCTGGGATGATCCGGGACTTTATCGTCATATTAACCAAATAATGCGAATAATGACTTGACATACTATTTCTCCCTTAAAAATCATTAAATAGTTTTTAAATATCATTAAATCATTTCAAATCACTTGCTTATGATTTTATCTGTCGTCATATGTAAGTCTATTAAAAAAATTTTCTTTAAAAAAAAATCTTTCTTTAAATAAATCTTAAAAAATCTTTCTTATAAAAATCTTTCTTTATTTTCTTATAAAATTCGTACAAAAAATTTATAATTTTATAATAACAATGTCTTCTACTGAAATTGTGAAGACAATCGAAGCTAAATCTCACCGTGCATCAATTTTTTTTAAAAAAATTTCATTATTATTCCAATAAAGTATATTTGGTTTATTCCTGTCTCTTATACACATCTAGATGTGTATAAGAGACAGATATTTATGTCAGCCGGAATAAATTATCTGTGGTAATTTTCACCTGCCATGAGATTTAGCAACGTATATGTGTATGTATTTTTTTTTAATTAGGATACTGACTTATTTTTGATAATTTAAAATTGGGATGTTGTCATAGATAGTAATATTATCGTTGATAATATTATTGATGGCGATAAAACTGATAATAATATTATTGATAACAATAAAACTAATGTTGATGATAATGATTGTATTGAAAGTAAATATTTAGCTGTTTTTTTTTCATTGCACTAATTATTGTATATTAAATTGCATTTCAAAATTATATAGTGACATTATTATCACCCGAGAAAGTTCGAAAAATGCTTCGTGAATTTGGTTTTGATAATAAGGAAGTGGAATGTGGAGTGAACCAATCGAGATTCCTCTTGGTGTTTTTATGACGCCTTTTGTGATTCGCGAAGTTATTCTTTCTGTTTGCACTTTCAAGATATTGAGGAATATCCAGAAATTTCATATGAATGTAAAAAAGGGCAGATTCCTAAATGGGTATCTCAAAAAGTTCAATCTGTTAATCCTGGAAGAATTATACCTGGAACGGGAACTCCTGCTAGATCCTATCCAGACTATGTATCAGTATATAAACTTCAAAAGCCTTCAAAAAATAAGGATCAAGTAAAAATCCTTGATCCATTAATCAGCATTTCTTGTATCGTGGAATACGTACATCAGATACTATTCCCGTGTTTCTTTTAAGAATAGCGCTAGTATCATCAGTAAATAATGAATTTGGTCCTGGTCTTTATTGCACTCCTAATTTTAATCTTGCTGTTGAGTATGCAGGAAAAAATGGCGCAATTTTTGTATATGATTGGTCTAATTTGGACAGCGATTTTACCATTAAAACTTTGATAGATAGAGAATGGGAAGATACTGTTAAAGGTTGGATATGTATCATAGACGATGATAGTAAACCAGGTCCACCCCAATTTGATGAAGATATTATTCAAGGACCTGTTTCTAAAAATCATGGGAGTATCTATAACTGCAGCAAACCAATTCAGTCACAAGATTTACAAGTTGTCGTGACAACAACTAATGGTGTGAATGCGATGACAGAGCGTTTATATGCAATTATTTATCTTTATTAGCTATAAATCATATAATAAATTGATTTACATATTACCACTTCAACAAAACTTGCTTTTCTATAAAATATTGAAATAATGAAAAAAAAAGATCATGATCAATATTATAGGTGCTGTCAAATTTTATGAATTATGTATGAAATCTTGTTTTAAATAATTATGACATGGTTTTTATGGTTGCAATATGTAATTTGGTAGCAGTAGCATAAGCGTGTTTATATTTCGGCGGTACTTATAATATATATCAGATTAAATTATATAGATAACATGAAATTATAACTTTCAATTTTTAATGATGGCAACCTATTTACAAAAAGCCGGAAAATATTATTTCCAAAAAATGGCTGAGTCAAAAAAAATGATTACGATTCTACGGTTTATGTCAAAATAGAAAATCCAGAAGGAATTGAGTATGGGGAAAACCATCTGATCATTATCAACGGTAAGTTGGACTCTCCCTCTATTTGTATTAAATCAATTATCCTTGCTGAACCTAACATTAAGTATCAACAAAGATAAATTAGAAAAGTGTCTTGGAGAGTCCATACGAGACGCTATTGATGATGTTTGTGAGATAATTGAAAGATGGCAAAAAAGAGTTGCAAAAAGATATAATCAAAATTTTAATTGTAATTATGAGGAATTCCATCACCTTTATTTTGATTTGAAAGCGGGAGTTGAAGTGAGTGATTACAGGATAAAAATAACCTTATAAAGGTACTAGAAAAAGGAAATATCAAATATTATGAGCTTCAAACCATGTCGCTCTACAAACAACATCGGAATAAGGTAGCACACAAGGAAAAATGGAAACCAGAGGATAAAAATAAAGGACAACGCAAAGAGGCCACTAAAAATGCCCTTGAGTGTATTAAAATAGCTACAAAAATTAGAAATAATCCAGAGTTGATCTTTGCGTTTGAAAAGTGTGTCAAGGATTTAGATTGTCTCACTATTGTCTCTCAATGTATTACTATCTATAGGCGTGATAATCCTGGAATAATACTATATTAGAAAGTAAAAGGGTTGGTTACTAAACTATCATCCATTAAATATTGATTACTTGAATAATTTATTCTCATTTCTCACATAGTACTCTGTTAAGAATCAAGCGATTTTTGATTTCACTTAATTCTAGATCCGGAAGCTCTGAATTATTTATTAGTATAAAAATATTTCCGGTTGCTCTCTCTTATCTATTCCTTTTAAATTCTGTATTTAATTTTGTTTTTGAAAATAAGTTTGGTTAAACGAAATTATATGTACAAATGAAAAGCTGTAAATTTAACTTCCTTAATTCTTAAATATTAAGAAAGAATACTCTTGCTATAAACATGCTGCATGCGTTTCATGCGTTTCGCAAGTATTCCTTTCTATATAGAAAAAAACATTATCGTGTTGAAATCGTAATTTGTAAGCTAAAAAAATAATAATAATGAATTTATAATTAATTAATGAATTTATAATTAATTAATGAATGGTTAGATTCAATAAATATGACTTTGAAGAAAACTTTTCTTATATATTATTTTATATTAAATATAAATTACGATGAAAATTAAAAAATCTTTGTATGTTATTAAGATAAGGTAATTATTTCGAAAGTTAAGAAATGGGTTACGGTACATTTTGCCGAAAACCATTTCATTTCGCCGAAAATGATAGAAATTATAGCGATTATCACTTTATAAAAATATTAATCGCGCAATGAAAATAAAAAATTTTTATTTATTTATTTATTAAATTACATCAGGAACCTTAATAAAAAATACATGAAAGACTATTGGATAAAACAAAAGACTATCGTTAATAGTTAAAAAATTAAACCATGAATCATTAGTAATGAATGTTACGTGAATTTATTAAAATAATATATATATTTAGTTTATTTTATTTTTACGCAGTTTATTTTTGTATGTATTTTTTTATGATGATCAAGATGGCTTAATAGGTGTAAATAATTGTATGATATTTAGCATAAAAACAATAAAATAAACAAATGTAATAAATAATGTTTCGGCAAATGTCCATTCGGCGAAATGGTTATGTCATTTATTATGTATAAATAACAAAGAATTAGAACAATGAATGAATAGGTTAATTAAATATCGGTTATCTAATAATAATAATATTGTGAAAGAACATTGTTATAGTAAAGCTGTAATAGTCCCTTCTATGGATAAAATATAATGAAAATTTTTGTAATACAAATTTTGTCATTATATCGGAATGATCGGGCAATTAAGTTTCAGAATTATAATGGTGAGATTTACAAAGATGATCAGGGGGATTGCGTTTACTATGATGATATCATGACTGTTAATAAAATAAACTTTTTAATTGTAGTAAGCTGCGTCTCTTTGAGTTTATTAATAATCAATTGTTTTGATCGTCTTTATTGTCTTTATTGTCTTCTCTTTAACGTACATTAGCCCTTTGGACAGTCTTCGTCTGATATCATATTTTTAAACCCGGTTAGCTCATTCTATGTAAGAAAAGATATATAAACGTGAATAAAAATGTTACATGATCATTTTAAAAAAATCGCTCCGAAAAAAACTGTTAATACATTTTAACACATTTCAAAGTATAATTATCTCGATTATTCTCATTTTCTTCACAATAAATTAACACTGTTACTCATATCTGTTACATCAAAATCAAGGTTCGTTTTGAGTTGAATTAGAAATCGTTTGCTAATATTGATCTAATCGATTCTTGAGTTTTTAGATGTCCTTAATCTGAGCGTCTTGCCCGCTCAACCACGCCTGGTAATCATATCACATAATTGATTATTATTGTTAACTGAGACATACAATGGTGAATATTATTCTTTAGGAACATAAGTTCCTAATCTCTCCAGTTCTAGATGGAATCTAGGGCGGTTACCTCGTCTTTTTTTATCGAGAAAATCTCTGTGAGTCTGTGTTCATGGGGATCGCCATTATTCTTTATGCTGTCAAACAAAAAATAGACTGTGAAATTAAAGTACGTAACACAAAATTTAATGAAAGATTGACTGCGGAGATGAACAAAATTAATTCGCACTATACTGCGGAAGTCATTTTAATCAACGCTCGTATCGGAATTTTGGCTTTAGCCTTTCTTCGAAATGCTGCAGAGGCGCAAAGTATTCTCGACAGGATTAATAATATCGAGCAAACCGTTAATGATCTATATGAAGAGGCACGGTTAGTTAATCAATCGAGACTGCTCGAAGAGCAAAATGAAACGGAAACAATTAACTCAGCCGTCAACTCTTTGTCCAATGTATCTTCCGAAGGTATTTCTTGCGACATTTGGACTCGTTTTAAATGTATTACCGATAGAATTATGACCGAAAAAAAATTTACCTTAGATGAAGCGTGTAATAGAATAGCAGTTGAAATAAATGATTATGGTAAAGGAAAGATTTGTGCGCAGGCCGTAAAGAATTTTTACAAAAAGAATAATTCTCATAGTATTAGGAACACATTTCCTAAAACCTTTGCAGAGGAAGTTCTAGAAACCTAGGTTTCTAGTGTAATACATTAGATAAGATTAGTGTGTGGGTACGAAATAATGAGTAGTGGGGATATTCAAACAACTTGACAGTTAAAGACATCTTTTTCTTTTTTATCAATAACTGTTGCAAAGATGTTACAATCAGCAACTTTATTTTGAAGAGTTTGTAAAATATTTTCTGGAATGTTAAATTTAAAAGTATGATGAATTCCAGGTTCAGTATTTGTATAAAGAATTCTTTTTCAGATAAAAATTGAAACGTATTAATTTTTTTTTTTTTACGATGTTAAAATTTATTACTTTATTAGGAAATTAAGAAAAATTACAAAAAAGGTGATCTACATTATTATATAACTACAATATTAGAAGTTAAGATGTATCGTTCAAAATGAACTATCTACCCTTCTGCACGCGCAAATAGGTTCATTTAACTACCCTAACTAATTATAATTATACATAATTTATATAATTTGCAAAAATTAAAAAAAATAGTTTGCGCTCCATAAATTTCACAAATAGATTTAATATTTGATGCAACTTGTCGTACAGTATTTATTTTCTAAACATACGAGGTGACAAACTTTATTATGATAAATGTTAACTATTAAACAATCTCAACTGATCTTATTTTCCTTTCCTCTCCAATTGCGAGCTTAGCCAATATATAATCAATATCATCGGAACTTAATTCTGAAATTTCTTCCGCAGAAAAAGATTTTATTTGCATTTTATCTTTACCACCGATCATATTAAAAAATTCATAGACTTTCTGAGCAATAGATAATGTCCGTTCAACATACATATGATGAAGTTGTTCCCTAACCTCTTCAATAACTAGTGCTTGAGCCTTACGTTCTTCACATTCTTCACGTTCTTCACGTTCTCTACGTTCTTTACGTTCTTCACGTTCTTTACGTTCTTTACGTTCTTTATGTTGTTTATTGACTAATTCCTTGAAGTAATATAAGCGAATCTTAAATGCTTTTCCAAAAAAGTAATAATAATGAATTACTTTTTGAGTCCTCTTTATTGCTCTATCTCTTCCTTCTTTAGTATTTCTAAATAATATCTCTTTCATAGAGATATTTTCATTATTAGTACGTGATATAAAATCAGATAAAATGGAGAATACATTATTGTCATCTATATCAGTCAATTGTTTCAAATCATCATTGTTTTCTGATTCATCCATAAGTTTATTGTTTTTTGATTCATCCATAAGTTTATTGTTTTCCAATTCATCCATAAGTTTATTTAATGTGTCAAACAACTCACTACCAACCGATTCTTTCAATTCTTTCAAAAGTTTTTTTAATGTTTTCTGCGAACGCGAAGATTTATTTCCCTGTTCTTCTTTGAAAAAGTCGTAAGCAAGAGAGACTGGGATTGTAAAAATAGCTAATAAAGAGTTTGTGTGTTGATGATAGTGTTATGATAACAAAAACCTTAAGGATAAAACTAGTAGTCACTAAAATTAGCATTGAGCGGTTAAATTTGGGATTATATTGACCGTAAATGGACATTAATAAAGCAATAAAATATATGCAAGATATGGGTATAACTATATATAAATGATCGGATGTTTTAAAGGTTATTTCACAGAAATAAGAGTAGTAATATATATTTACAATGAAATCACTAACTATAACCACCTTTCTGCAAATATCGATTTTTTCAGTAAGAATAGTTTTATATGATTCTATTATTTTTTGATGCTTTAATATCTTTATATAATTCTAATATGAAATATATAAAGCGAGTAGCGTACATAAGGAGAAAAGGTAACCCAAAATATATTATAATAAAGCGTGTTTTTCCAAAAATTTCAAAGAAGTTGCTGCGATAAGAATAAAGTACAGTAGGTAATACAACATAAATCGAAACAAAAATTCCATATGTAAGTAATAAAAATTTCATCATATATTTTTTGTAATTGAACGAAAGAGTAAAATTCACGAGGATCGGAATCATAACGAACATAAATAAATTGTGAACATCGGTTGTTGGGTCGTATTTATCAGCCATTGGGAAATGATTTCTCAGTTTATGTTTGAAAAAAGAGTTAATGACAATAAACGAGGAGGTAATTTTTTGCAAAAATACAGAACTTTATATGAATAAAAATGCAACATCCGAAGATAAATTTCTCTCTTTATTCATTATAATGAGGTGATCAGGTGGATTATTGAATTAATCAAATATGGAAATATTGTTAACAAAAAATATGCAAAAACATAACTGTACACAAGCAAGTATTGGAGGTAATTCTTTTGCAAAAATACACAACTTAGGAATGCAACATCCGAAGATAAATTTATTCATTGTAATGAGGGACTATGCATTAAAATAGTTAGCCTATATTATTGTAGAATCCGAATGGAGTACAGTGCTGTTACACTAGTAATACACTGTACGGTATAAAAGTCTTTTTTTATTTAGCGTATGCCGCTAAATTTCATAATTCATTTTTTTTGCTTATTGTGCATTAACGCCCAATTACGAAGTAGTTAATGAAGAATTAATTTTAATTAAACGATTGTAATACTACGCACGTTTTTTTATTCTTTAATTGAATTTTTGAACTGAATTTTTGCTTTCTTTCGTGTGATTAAATATCAAATAAAGATGAATATTAACTTTTATAAATATTAGATATAAAATTATATTAAAATTGTATATAATTCTTTTATTTTTATTGGCACAACTGTGATAAAAGTTTTGCGTATTACGAGTGTAACGTACTCTGCATCGTTTTTAGTACCGTACTCCATTCATTTTAGTCGACTGGACTCCACAACTTTCTGTATCACTCGTGCTCGACCCTATAAAAAAATTGGATAAGTTTTTTATAAAGTTTTTATACGATTTTTTTCCTTAGAAATAACGTATCATAATAGTCCGTTGAAAGGATAAGGAAAAATACACAATTCCGCATCACTAAAAATATGGCTTGTATACAGAATTTGTACGGGATTCCTACGGATTTTACATGATCTAGTCACTGATTTTATCATGAAATTATATGTTTTGGTCACTGAATTTACTACAGTTTATTATGTTTGTATTTACATAAATTTAATTCTACTTTGTTAAATTAAATAAAAAATAAAAATAAACAAAGTGAAAATTTCCGCCCCTATCAAACCAACCTATTGCAACCAAAATTATCTATAAGTCCAGGTTCATCCAAGTCTTCTCAGTAAAAATTAAATACTTTTTCCTATTCTAATTAATTTTAAAGAAAGAAGCAAAGAAAATAATGGTTTTAAAGAGAAACAGAAGCAAAAGAAAGAAAAAGAGAAAACGCGAAAACGCGTGCATACCCCCCTCTCACTCCCCGGAGTCAGACAATCTAAAAAAATAAAAAAAAAAAACTAATATTTCTTTAACTTAATTGGAAACCAACTCTCATATAGTATCTGCAATCATCCAAGTCTTCAAGGGTTAGCACTCCTACAAAAAAGTAATTCCAGTGACCTACAAAAAGAAAGAGGACTCCAGAATGTCTGACCTATATAAAAAAAAGAATCATGAAGCATCTGATAAAAAAGAAACCAAAACAACCTACAAAAGAAAAAAAAATCCAGAACTGACCTACAAAAAAAAGAAGACTCTGACATCCTATAAAACAAAACTGAAACAACCTACAATAAAGAAAGGAATCTTAAACTAAAAAAGGGATAAATATAAATATAAAAGAAGACATAGTGAGTGGGGAATAAAAGAATAAAATCAAAAAAATACTTTTTTTTAAAAAAGAGGGGTGACGAAGTTAAAAAAATTAAAAAAAATTTTTTTTTAAAGGGAGGATATCAAAGTTAGAAAAATAAAAAATTATTTATGAAGAGGTAATAAGGAAGAAAATTTTTTAAAATTTTTTTAAGGGAAGGTACGAAAAAAATTATTTTTTTTAAGGGAGGTGACGAAAAAAGAAGAAAAGAAAATTTTTTTAAAATAAACAAAACAAAATAACAAAAGAAAAAAAATAACGAAAATAACAAACATAAGACAAGATGAAGATCCAAAACTTATGATTCATTGTATTCAAAAAAAAATTTAAAAAATTGATCAGGTGGATGATCATTGGTTATGGCATAAAATTTTGATTTTAATCATTCGGATAAATTGAAAATCCTAAAAAAAGATTTCAATTCGTCAGATCATCAAACTATAATTAAACCATTAGATCTGAAATATGATTCATATGATTCATCAGCTCTTTATTTTGGAATTCCTATATTAGACAAGTTGGATTCTTCAAATAATTCTCTTATCATTGGACATCATTTTTTTAATGATGAAAATGAAATAATTGGATCATATATATTTTCTTATTGTTTGAAAAAGAATCATTTTGTTAACTTACCTAATTTTACATTTTATATACTTATTATCTCAAATTACCCTAATTCTGATAATTATGGAATCTCACCTTTTCAACATATTAGTAAAATAAGTAAACTGAGTAATTTTATTTTAAAGTTTAATTCCTTAAAATCGAACCCAAAATTTATTAGTTTGCATTCTACAAAAAACAAATATGGACCAATTTTCTTAAAACAAAAAACCAGTGAAATTAAAATTAAATATATTAATGTTAATTGTGATCAAGATAATTGTATCTGTAATAGAAGATAATTTAAAATACGCATTTTTAGATCCAAAAAATCCAAATTATTAAGGTAATATAATCTGTTATTTATAGGACGATTATAATATTACACAATTCAAAGGAAAATACTACAATAATTTTTATAAATTAGGTTATTTATGTATTATTTTTAAAATATACTTTAAAACTCAATATATGTATTTAAAATGTCTCAGCTCAGCACCTTTAATGTGTCTTGTTCAAAATTTAAGGTTAGAAAATTTTGGATTGATAATTGATAATGATACAATAAACGCAAATGATATCAATCTGTATGATAAGCTTTAAAAACTGAATTTTACACAGAAAATACTACTACATTCTTTATATTTGAAATACAACTCGTAAAAAAAAATAGTACCAATATTTTATGGACTTTTATAAAGATTATCGCTTAGTCCTTTTTTTGCTTCTACTTAAAACATTTAAAGTAAAACTATTACAACTAATTAAAATTAAATATGTCATTCAATATCATGGTCGCTGGTAATTTGATTTAACAAATAACATTGAAATGAATTGAGAAAATCAGGAAATGCAACCTTATACCGTTAAAGTTAAATGGAGACTATACAAAAAGGAAACAGTGGTAATAGTATAATAATTTAGCGCGATTTTTGTGGAAGGACGAAGTTACTTTGAATCTCAAGAAATTGGTGGTTTATTAACAAAGATTTACTTTTATTGAACTTTTTTTTTTAGACATAATATATAATTATTAATCCTTCTTAGTCAATTCTGTTGACTGTTAGGTATGTAATATCTCGAGGCATCAGGTAAAGAAAATAGATGAGGTTTATTGTGAATTTGACGAATTGGAATTCAGGAAATTATGGAAGACCTTCAGTAAGAAAATACTGTAGATAATGTAGGTATACAAAAAAAATTTAAAAATAGAAATTTAGATTAATAAGCAATTTTTTTTACACGTTATTAGATATGATTCTAATACTTTGTAATAGTAGAGGGTAACGATAAGTATGGATTAACAGAGAGGTTGGCTTTTTGTTTGTCAATGAATCTATCGAATTATAATACGATACGTATGGTCTACTTTCAACTATTGAATCAAGGGGACAGTATTATTTGATTGTATATATATACAAAAAAATTAGCGAAATAAACAATTTAGTAATACTTTTCCCTTTAAAAAATTTTTTTTTATGATAAAAAAGACTAGTTATTATTATAAATACTTTTGCGTCACAAGAATACTAATTAAAGTTAATTAAACAAAAGAACTTAAAGAAGTTTAGTCGGTGTAAATACATTTATTAAGTTTTATAGTTTGAAAGACTGTATAAACTTAATTTTTATTAAATTATGATCAATATGATAATTCTTTCAAATCGGTAAATTAATTAAGAATAGAATAAGTAATATAGTAGGTTTCTTTGATTTATTCGTCCACGAATGATTCAAGCAAGTTAGAAATAGTAGATTTTTAGTGATATCATACATAAAATTTTCGAAATATTATTATCCAAAATACGTGAAAGACTTAACTAAAAATAATAAATGACAAATTTAAATGAAAAATTGTTTTACTTACTTTTTTTTTTATCTTTTATTGAAAAAAGATAGTTTACAAGTTTTCGAGTCTTATTTTTAAAAATTTCAATTTTCACTTCACTAGAAATATAAAAAGATCGATTTCAACATTGACAATAAAAATAACCGATATAATGATATAATTATTGAACTTAAAATATAATCATTGAACTTAAAATAAGAACATCGTATATTTGGATCCTACTCTACCCATATGCTTTTGTTACTATAAAACTTTAAAAAATCTAGATAGTTTTATTATTTCCAAACACTCATTGTCTATGGAACTCTATAAACATATTAAACATAATTCTAAGTTTT